GGAAGGGAAGGGAGGGGAGGGGAGAGGGGAGGGGAGGGGAAGGAAGGAGGAAAGAGAGGGAGAGGGAGAGGAAGGAAAGGGAGGATGCCCAGTTCTGCACCGCTCTGAGAGGCCTCAGACTGCACCTCGGATGTTGTGCCCTTTTCATTTCCAAAATGGACACTGACAGAGAGAAGGGAGCTCAAGGAAGAGGTATTTTAGGAGCTGGAGCTAAAACTATTGGCTCGAGGAAGTTCAGACTAAAGGGGAGATGTGAAAATTGCTATCCAAAGCCCAAGATCTGAGAACCTACTCATTTTTGGTCTGGGAATTGAGTGCCTATTTCAGTCTACTCTGTCTTTTCACCAATGAGGACAGACTGGGAGCTCTGGGAGCTCTCTCCCAGAGCTGCAGCTGAGTGCTCCCCTCTCCCTTCTTGAGTTCCTGATGCAGATCAGAGTAGGCAGGGATCCAGAGGGTGTCACAGCAGCCACAGGCAGCGGAGAGGGACGGGTCAGCTGCCTGGCTGCGAGGTGCCTGCAGGCCCAGCGGTGGCTCCCACCCCAGTACCTCCTCTCTCAGCAGAGCCTCCCCGAGCCAGCAGGGACGCAGCCGCTGAGCACCACGGCATCCCCTTGCAGCCCCAGCACAGCACTGTGGTTGCTTCAGGCTGGGCCACACCGAGGCTGGCAAGGCCCCTTGTGTCCTCCTGAGCCTGCAGCCAGGGGGGCCAAATGGATGCTTCTCCCTCAGCTCCCCGGCTCCCCAGCAAAGCGCTCCGCTCGGCCTTCCTGCCACCCTTGGAAGTCGCCGCTGGAGCCACCACTGGCCGGGGCGCGGGGCAGCCAGGGGCGTGGGGAGGGCTGCGCTGAGGTGAGGGAGCACAGAGGAGGCCAGGAGCCTGAGAAGCCATTTTACTGCAGGCCACAATGCTTAAAACATGGGAGAAACTCCCTCTCTGGAGGGAGGGAGGGAAACATAGCCCGGCCCAGATATAGGGGACTGATCCCAGCATCCAAACCCACCTCTCTGCACATGGCATAGGAAAATACATGAGGTTGGGAGGCATCTCTCTATCTAGTAAGTAGGGGAAGGAAAGAAATTTGGCATTTTGGATGCACCTAGTTAAACCTGAAGTAGAAAACAGGCTTGTGGATAGGGATAGCAATTTGAAAGAGCTTCTCTGGCGGCAATCTGCTCTCTGTGGGGGGGGGGGGGGGCAAAAAAAGTAGGATTTGGCTAAATGCGGGAAACCCCCCGCAGTCCACCTTCTTATTCCCATAGATTGGCCTTGTATGCCCTCCCCCCCACGCCCAGCCAGCCGTGGGGCTGTGCAACGCTGTGGAGCTCTTGATCCCATTGCCTCTGGCTCATGGAAATCACACGGATGTGGGGAAATCACTTTGCGCTGAAGTTTCAGCAAAAGCTTCCAGTAGTGGGGAGTTGCAGTCAGTGAAACCGGGACTCTCTGGAGTCCGGGCAGGGCCCTCCACCATGTCCATCTGGGCTGGGATCCCCCATCAGCTGCCTTGGCAGCGCTCCTCACGCCATCTGGCATACGCTACAGGAACTTCCTCCAGAGCAGTGCCCATGCTGTTGTGAGCTTCCTTTGCAGCAGTGCCCTGGCCATGCCCCAACAGCCTCCTCAGGGGAGAGAACGACACCCTGTTAAAGTGATCTTTGGCACAGCAGGGACCTGACAGCAAGCTCTGTGCCCGATGCAGTGCCCCTCCTGCTTATGTGCTCATGCTGCCCGTGGCCATGTCCCTCTGCCTGCATCCACCTGCCCCCATTGGGACCAGTCCTGAGGAAGCCAAATGACAAACACAAATCCAGCTTTGCATGTACCACCCCGTTGCTCACTTGATCTCTTCTCCCCTCTAGCCCTTTCCACCCTTTTCTCTACTTCTGCTTCTTCCCCTTGTCCCCGTCTGTTTGCCCTCCTTTGCACAGCGTGAAGGACCATGCTGAAATCCCTGGCATCGGCTGCACTGTCCTGAAAGCAGGTCAGAGGCAGATAAGCTGGGATAAGGGATTGGGACAGATCTGTAGCTGGGAAACCATTGACCACAGTGAGGAGGGGGAGCAGCCAGACTGGAGGCTGGGCAGCCTCTCTTGGGCAGAGGTTGGGCAGGGCACCGCTGGGAGACTCACACTGCTGCAGTGCCTTCCTGTGGGCGCTGCTTCGTGGCAGTGCGCCTCGCCAGGGCACTGGCTTGCTGAAGTTCATGCTGCAGCAGTCCCCCCCTCTCTGCTGAGCAGGCCAGCATTGCGAAGACCTTTCCTCCAAGCCACCACTAGCAGTCCTGTGTGCCAGGGACCTGGTGCTGCTGCAATTCCCCCAGGCCGGGCACTGCTCCCAGGAAGCCTGCACTGCTGCAGTGTCATGGCTGATGCAGCTATTGCTTGACTGTAACCTCCTCTCCCTGCTGCCCTCCCCACTCTGTGTGGCGTGGGGCTGTGAAGAGAGAAAACATCCTCTCTCCTCCTCCCTCCCCCTCCCTCTCCCTCTGATCTGGCTGAGCTCCTGTGTTTATGATACCACCTCTGGGGACTGGTCTGCTCCCAGGTTGGGTCCTTTCCCCAACAATGCCCAAACTGAATTCTCCCTCCTTCCCCGCTACCAACCCCTCCCTCAGATAAAGCACCATCCCACATCTTCCTGCAATGTCCTTGGGAACACAACCCATGTTTGTTTGTTTCCTCCCTCCTGAAATTCACATCTGAAATGATGCCTGCTGGGGTAGGGAAGCAAGGAGTACCTGCAATTAAAATATGGAAAAAAATGTGAGGGGGGGGCAGGGTGAGGAGAAAGAGGTGGGAGCAGCAGGGTAAGGAAGTGAGGGGAGTTTGTTTTTTAATGCCGGTCACCCTGGTCCTTCTCTGCAGGGACCCAAGTGCGTGTGGGGTTTGGAGGGCACAGGGTAGGGAGCACAGAAATGCATGCAGTGAAGGGGGGGGGTGCTGGCCATGAGGAGACACTTACCTTGCTAGGGCAGGGGTGAACGAGAGATTGAGAAAGTGCTGGTAGAAAGGAGAGGAGAACGAAGCTGAGGAGGGATGCAGGACCTCAAGGGGAGATGATGTGTCCTCTAAGCCAACGGCAGCAGCAGCAGGATGGAGACGCCCCTGATAGGGCTGGGACAGCAGCATGTGACCCAGAGCTGCGATGAGTCAGGATTTAGCAAAGCTTTGCAAACAGCACGTAGAGGATGGAGAGAGAAAGAGAGAGAGACAGACAGGGGATAGACAGAGACAGATGAGGGTGAGAGAGCCAGGGAATAGGAGTGGGTGTGCAGGATAAACAATTCCAGTCACTCCAGGCTCATTAATTATTTTTATTCAAATCAGAAAATCTTGCAGGAGTTTTGGGAGCCATAAATAAAACCACACAACCTACAACTCTCCCCTTTTCCTCAGGGGCCTACTGAGAGTACAGTGTCTGTGCAGTGACTGCAAGAGCCCTGCAGTTCCTCAGGATAGCTTCCAGGACCAGGGTGGGTAACCCTCCTCTTTTCTCCAGGCAAAAAGGTGAAGGTGGGTCTGGCACATGCAGAGACCTGGAGCTCTTGCTTTCCCTGCCACACACATGCCAGCAGTGGGAGGACATCTCCAGATCATGAGGGGCTCTGTGAATATGTGGTAAAACCAAGGGTCACTCAGTCACATCACTGTCAGCAGATTCCTCCATTTCCTGAAGAAGAAAAGAGGAAGAAGTTAAATGACTCCATGCCCCACTTTTTTTCTTCTCTCTCTCACTTCTGCTAGCAGGGTTGGGAATGGCAGTGAGGTTGTAATGCTGGGCTGTATCTGTCACAGGCCCCTCTGCCCTTGCAGCTGGCTTCCCTCAGCCTTTTCCTCCTGTAATCTAGAAGAAGAGATTCTTGACTGACAAGTTTGACCTCTCTCTTTCCCTCACTTTCTTCTTCTCCCTGTGCCATTCTCACCTGTTCTTCCTCCTGCCTTTTCTGCCGGATTTTGTTCGCCTCTGCCCGCTCATCTTCCTCGAAGAATTCTTTGTCAAGGCGCTCCAAGTGTGGCAGCAGGACCAGGACCTCCACCCGGTAATCAGCTTCATCAGAGCATGGATTGTCCAACAGCACCAGTGCCCGCAGCATGGGGAGCACCTGTAGCTTTGCCACCTCCTGAAGGCTACTGATCCCATTGCTCCTGAAGAGGAGGGAGCACAGTGGGCAGGGAGAGAGAGGTACATATAAGTAGCAAGGTCTCTTCAGAACAGCAAGCTGACAACATAGACAAAGCAAAACTTAGCAACATGACAGACCATAGACCTTAGACCACGGACCTGTGATAGACCACAGATCTGTATGGAGCTCCCTAAACTGAGGGTCAAAAGGACACTTCCTCTGGATTTCTCTGTGCTTAAAGAATCCATTGACTTATCTGGCATAGCCATACACCTGTATGGCAAATGCCTAGAAGAAAAGTATACTTATGTTCATGGCCAGGACAATGAGAAAGTGGAGAGGGATCCAAAGGAGTTTTGGCAAGGAATAAAAAGTATGAGGTGGGGTCTGAGAGTGACTGGAGGGGTAGATCTCTTCCAAGAGGCCCACAAAAAGTCCTGGCTGTGATACCCCTAGACAACTGAACCCTGGACACAAGGGCTGTAAAGACCAACCCATTCCTATCAGGGTTTCAACTCCCAAAGAAACCAGAAAATCCTAAAGACCCAAATGGAAATGCACCTTGATGAGGGGAGTTTCTGATCCTGCCACAGAGCAGGGAGGACCCACCGTAGATTGAGGTACTGCAGACACTTCATGCTACTACAGAATCCATCCAGGGTTTCAAGCTGGTTTTCACGCAGGTGCAGAGTTGTGAGCTGTCCTAGGCCCTCAAGGCCTTCAAGGCTGCTAATGGCATTCTGGGCCTGGGCACCAGGGAGGCAGGAAGAAAGAAGGAAAAGGAGGGAGACACAGGGGAGGGGAAGAAATTATTTCTGATCTTCAAAGCTCTTTCTACCATTCAGACTCCCTATCACCCCTAATGCAGCCTTCTCTGAAGTAGGGTATGGCACATATGTAATACTGCAAGAAGGAGGCTACATGGCAGTAAAGAACAGGACAGCCAGAAGCCAGCATGGCTGGAGTGAAAACCACAGAGGAAATCTTAGAGATGGAGGATGGAATACCTTGAAAATGTGATTACAAGTCTAGGCTGTGCACCTTGGCTCAGGATATTCCATGCCTATTAGACTCACAGATTTAGATGGAGAAGGACCTCTGGAGGTCTCTAGCCCAACACCCTGCTCACAAGGTTAACTCCAAAGCTAGATCAGGTTGTTCAGGACCTAGCCAGAAAGAGTTCTAAATATTCAGGTTCAAGGACCAAAAGTTTTCTGAAAAAGGTTCTTGTAGCATCACTCGGTGATTGAGACAAAACCACCCCAGATGAATAATGCCTAACAGTCTCTAGTTATGATGGGACATGCCATGATCAAGACTAACTAGAGCATGCACTCTTAAGTCACCTACTCTACTGCCAGCCCAGCATCACCTTCCACAGTCGTGTCTAGTCTGAGTCCTTAAGGCCTCAGAGAGAAACAGTATGGAGAGGAAAGCATGGGTCTGAGCATAAAACAAGTGTGTTCAAGGAATGGATCATCAGCTCTTCTCAACTACATTGCCCATGTAGTCCAGGGATCTTCCAGTGTCAGCTGCTTTTCTTGTGGGGGAAACCTCTACCAGGAATTTTCCTCTTCTTCTCCTCTAGGCTGATCTAAAAGCAGGTTGGATGTTCTTGAAAGAGGTGGCAGAAGGATGGGGGTTGTTTGTTTGTTTGTTTAATTTTAAGCATTTCCTGGTATAATCCTTGTTATCCATCCATAAGCATACCTTCTTGCAACAAATCTGACAATCTTGTGGAAGGAAGAACATTGTTCTATCAGTTTGAGATTCTGCATTATTGAATTGAATTCACTTCAGTGTGATTTGAGTTATGAGATGGAGAAACCTGGTTCTTAAATTTGTCAATAGATTCATGGAAAGAATTAGGCTGCAAAGGACCTCTAGAGGTCTCTTGTCCAACTCCCACCTCCACTCACAGCAGTGCTAAAGGCTCTGGCCCTGCAAGCACCAACAGGATAATGCAGAATTGATTTTTTTCAGGGATTTTTTTCTTTCTAAATCAACATCCGTTGTGACTCCTTTAATTAAATGACTGCATCATCACGTTACCTTACATACCAGTTCTTCACATAGATGTGAGACCACCATCTCTTATAGAAAACTATGAGAGATGCACAATATGCACACAATATGAGTGCACAATAGTGCACAAGAGCATGCACAATATGTTGCACGTTGTTCCTTCCCCACCACTTGCATACCTCACCTTGTTCTAGCTAGCTTTTGTCACCACTACTGCATGAAGAACAGGAAATAACACAGCCCCACTAACAGCAGGATCCTTATCCTCAAACTGATACTGTCTGAAATGCCACACCGTACACAACCAGCTCCTAGTTTTCCTGCTGGTGAGTGTAGCTTTATTAATGCTAAATTTCACCTGCAACTGTCATATATTAACCAAATTTGATTCAGTTCCTTTAAATCAGCCTTTGAATTCCTATTGCATGAGTGCCTTGAAGACTGTCCTTGCAGCATCTGCTTCAACTTCCTATGGCTCAATTAATACTGTAATCTTTATACAAAAACTACTACTCCCTTTGCACCATCTGAGCAGACAGTGTAGAAGGATCTGCCCCAAAGAAGTGATTTTGTCTCTTTAGTTCTCTGAAATTTGTTCATCGCTCAGGCTGAGAAGACTGGTCAGAGCAGGCTAGCATGGAAATTATGCTGCTTTGAGGGGGACAACATCTCCCCTCCTCCCACTGACTGAATGCGCCAGGCTCTGCAGCATCTCTGTCCCGCTCCCTGAGCTGGCTGATCCCTTACCAGATATAGGTTCTTGAGCTTGGGAAGGTTTAGCCCTGCTGTGCTCTCTAGCTTGTTTCCTCGCAGCTCCAGGATATGCAGGCTGAACAATTGTCCTTGACTCAGGCCCAGCGCTGTCTTGATTTTATTTCCTGAGTGCCAGAGAAGGAAGGAGTGAGAGAGTTAATCCCACCCAAAGAGCGCTTCCTACGTACACAAGAATGGAGAGAGGTGGTCTGTATCACCTTTAAGGCTGAGGTTGGCTAAGCGGGGGTGGGTAATGCCCTCTATATCCTTGATACGGTTGTGAGCAAGGCTGATGATCTGGAGGTAGGGCAGTTCCTGCATGCAGGCACTGGTAAGCAGATTCCCATCCACCTTCAGCCAAAGCAGGTGAGTTAGGCTGCTCAGCGGAGACAAGTCTCGCAGCTTGTTCTCTGACAAATCCACATACCGCAGGTGAATGTAGCGTTGGAGGAGGCTGATGTCTGTCAAGTGCCTATGGGAAAGAGGAGGTAAATAAAACACCCCTCATGCTCCTCTCCTGTCACTGCCTTTCAGTTTGCCCTTTACCACTGCCAGAGGAAGGGCATTCTTCTCTCCCCCTTCTCTTCTGTCCTGGAAAACTTTGCTAGAGAGAAGGATGGAAAAGGCAAGCAATAGGGAAAGGCTGAATATTTTGTAAACAAGGCTGAATGCTAAGGGGAGACCTTCTTTCCTGGGACAGGAAGTACTTCTTCCCACTGAACTGTAACGGTCAGGAGAGAGCAGAACCAAAGTAGAAAAGAGGCTCAACTTGGGAAATGGGTCTGCTACACAGTAGTGGTAATACCAAGGACTGTATGGAAGTACTTTCCTAGCAGGAAAGGGCCAGTTTAGATACCTAGAAGACTGGTTAAAGACAGTCTTACTGAGGCCTGTTAGGTCTAGGTTTATTTGGGTGTGCTGATGGGCTGAGGCTCCCTCCAAACTATCCCTGCATGGTGCTTACAGGTACAGAAGTTAAAGCTGAGCAGTTATCAGGCGAGATGCTCAGTGGATATTCCTAGAGATGAGTTTGGGGAGGTCACCCTGTTCAGGTCCCCCCTAGGGTACCACAGCCTAGAGGAACAGACACATTAGGATCCCCTCAGTCTTCGGGAATGCTGATGCTCCCAGGAGCGTGCATGGCTATGGCTACGGCGTAGGGGGTCCCTAGCTCAGGGCTGGTGATGGAGAGGCTATCCTGAGACACAGACTGGAAATGAGGCAGCCAGAGAA